AACATATGAGGCCGTGTTTCCAAAAACGGTACGGCACTGTTTTTGGTTATTGGTCATGGACTGATTATTAATGTTAAGCTTCCACAAAGGGTAATTTATTTATTTACTTCTTCTCTTTGAAATATCCTTCGATAATCATTTTCTAAATGTATTGGGAAAATTCATTGGAAGTGTATATCCCCACACCAAAAATGCTCATGTTTCATAAATATCAACTGGTATGGTGAGGAAAATTTAACCATCTTTTTTCTTCCTGCATATTTCAATACAACAGAAAATGTGATGTATGTGTATACTAATGATGATGATTAATGAATGTTTCAAAAATAAGACGAATACAAATTAAATTGTTGAACCTTAATAAACTCCACGAAGCTGGCCAGAGCTAACCTCATCTGGCCTAGAATCAGCAGCTACATAATATACCACAATCAGCAGTCAAAGACCAATTCTATTTACCGCGAAGGAAGTTTAAAGCTCAGGTTGTACCTCAGGTAACCGAATAGGAGCATTCCCATTTTGAAACGGGTCACTCTAGAGAGGGTCCTGTATAGACCCTCTCTAGGTCACTCTCGTCACTCCTGTATCGCCCTAGGTCTTGTTAATCCTCATCAAACGAGGGAAGGCGCCTGAAAGGCATCCAAGCTACCACCACAGAAGCATTTCGTTTGTCCACAATTCGATTTGTTAAACGAGCTTGCCTTGGGGCATAACGCGCCCTAACCCTCACTGAACCCACCTTTTGTCCATAGCCCAAATTGCATTTCCACTTCAAGGTACGGTCTATTGATGAATCTACGTTACGGTCGACCAGCAGATGGAAATGATGATAAAATGAAAATGACGTTTGGCTACCTGTCAAATCGTATGGAATATTTTTTAGTACATCATCACTTTTGTGGTTTTGGATTTCAAACCTAGGTGTCGCATGCACTGGTGCAGTTTCGCGTAGATTCATCAATTGCGAAAACTTCAATAAAATCTTCCAAACATGCAGTTCTAGATAGAGCTGGAATTAGGGCGTAGCAGCTTTTGCAAACAATGATTTCTCTCGATGATTTCTTGAAAGCCAAGGCTCGTTCACTCAAATCAACGTTACTATCGGATAGGGGAAGTCTTCCTCTTCCCGTTGGTTATGTTGATTTGCGTGGCCGTGACTTGAGTTTCGAGAAATCATCGAGAGAAGTCATTGTTTACAAAAACTGTTACGCCCTAATTCCAGCTCTATCAAGAGTTGTTAGGACCATTTGAACCAGTTGAGCAGATAGGACCATTAGAAATGTTCATCGAGAGTTGTCTACTCGATGAACATTTCAAATGGTCCTATCTGCTTTGATCGATTCTCTTCATCGACTTTCTCTTTTGATAACCACGCCTACGCAAATGCATTTGGTGCTATTTTTGCCACACAGTTTGATAGCAGAAGTTGCTATCTTGTGCTTAGAACATTGAACACAGCAGGGAATGCTTTTGAAGTTGAGTTATTAATGGAAGAGAAAGTCGATGAAGAGAATCGTTCGACCTTCTGAAATGTTTATCTAGAACTGTCAAAATCGAGTTCAAAATACTAGCGATCCCTAATAACACGGCATGCTAGCTTTAAGTTTAACAATTCCATCAAACGAACTCACAGCAGCACCTCAAAACGCCTCGTGCGTTCCTCAATAACTCCAAGGATCAACAGAGTCACTTCGGTCAAATGGGCCGAACGAACTATCATCTTCCATCCGAATGAATAGAGCTCTTAGTCTCATAAAAATAAATAAACACTCCGGAAAATCTTTATTTTTGTTCGGTTCCTCTGTCTCTCCCTTGAAGTGGATAACCAAACAGTGAGTGGTGGAGAATGTGAATTTTGTTTACATAAAACTCCTCATCGCATCAGCTTTTGCTCGTAGCTTATTCTGCCCCGACTTCTTTATAGACAGTTTGATGCCACCCATATGCGATGGCGTGACGTTGATAAATCCTTTCTCGTCAGCATAATTTCAGCAGAGGAGGAAAAAACTCCATATGTATGATTGTATGGCGTTTCCCAGTCTCCACGAAGAACATGTACATAAATTGAAAAAAATGAAAAGTTTTTCGGGATGAGTTTCCTTTTTTTGCTTTACTTCTCCCACTCCCACATGAGATGTCAGTGTGATAGCGTCAAGGACGAGAAAAGGATTTTCATCAACTCGTCAACGCCCTTGTTTTTGGTCGAGCGGAAATGTTCAAAAGAAAATTTACCTCAAGAGAAATGCTGATTCGAACGATTTGTTGCTCAAATCGTAGCTAGCGATGAAATGTGTTTGTTTTTCAAAATTAACCATCTCATTCGAGCAGTTGAAAATGACGTTTCCTACCACTCGAGCTTCGAAATAAAACAACATTTTGAGATTGTCGAAAAGTAACCAAAAGTGGTGCGTTTCATAATAGTGAAATCCAACCAGCCACGGCCACCCGTGACGCCGTTGTCGTAGCGGTGATAACAAATGTAAACAGCTTTTGAATTTGAAAACTTGCATTTTTCTGTACGTTTTGATGATCAAAAGGCTTATAAAATAATAGGAAAAATGGTCTTCTACACAATGGTAAGTCGCTTCAATAATATAATTGCTTGCAATCAGGAAAAAAGTTGATTTGTAGACTACTTAAATTTAAGCTCCACCGCTTAACATTACCTTTGTTGTTGCAGGATCGCTGCATTATCTCGGGATGCAACGGAGACAAATTTCCAGCTTTTCGGTTCCGAACTCGGGGAGCAACAAATGTGCGCATTGGAGAAAGGTTGCCACTGTTTACGGGACAGGGACAGAGCGGATATGCTCCCATCATTTTGTTGAAACAGCTTGTTGTCGTGGGGTAATTTGAGATTAATTTCATGTGGCCGATCCCCGGGATGGGAACTTTGCAACATAAACCCCTTCCCCTCAATTCTTGCTTTGCTGCTGATCTACTGATCAGCAGCTACCAGGCACACAATATGCTAGGTCTGGAAATCCGCAAGCACGTAGTCCCCAACATAATCCAGTATATTCAGGGCTGAAAGTCTCCTTAATAAAGATATAAAAAAAAATATTCAGCAGACTGACTTGGACGTTGATTTCGGGATGGGAATCTGCAATCATACAAATCATAACCTCAATAATTCGTTGGTCCCAGGAGGCTGGCAACCCCATTTAAATCTTATACGTTTGACAGTAGGCAACATCACGGGCCTTATTTAAATCTGGGACGGGACTTGATTTCGGGTAGTGATTTCGAGCCAATTTGCTGTCAAATCCAAGCCAGTTTCTAATTGGTCGATTTGACAGTAGCAATCGCGGAGTAAAAAAAACAGAGGGATTGCATCAATCTGGCTGGCAGTGATGCCAGAATCAATGTTGACGTCAATGGGGTTGTTAATTGTTTATATTTTCGAAAGGAAAGTTGACAAATTGAGTGCACTGCGTGTTTTAAGCGATGAATATTGTTTTTTATTGATGTTTGTTTTTATTGTGTTGAGCAAAATTGATGTACAAGCTGCTAGACTGCAGTAGAAACTCCGAATAAAATCCAAATTAAAATAGAAAAAATATTTTACATTCCTGGCATCATTGGTCAAATCCGTCAAACACCACGCACAACTTTCCGAAGGGCATTCTTCAAAAACATTAAGAAGAGTGAGAAGCTCGACTGACAAGTTCTGTCCCGGATTTAAATTCGGCCCGCCTGACGTATACATGGTGGAAATGGACGGAAAATCGTGTTATAAGCAGAAAGACAAGAGCAGATGATGATCTGCCGGCTCCGGTGGTGTAGTGGTAAGCGTGACTGCTTTCTAACACCCCAATGGGTCTGGGTTCAATCCAAAGCCGAGGTCGGTGGGATTTTTCTGAGGCATAAAAATCTCTGGTCACGTCTTCCTTCGGAAGGGAAGTAAAGCCGTTGGTCCCGGCCCATGTGTGTTGAATGGGTGCGATATCCTACGCAGGTGTGGAAGCTGCCTTCCTGCGCATTCGGTTGCCGTCAATGGATGGCAATCGATGTCAATGGACATTTATATAAGGTCTGGGCCAGCAGGCAGCTTGCTGATGTTAGAAGCAAAAATGTTGTAAACATTGCTGAACATCTGCGAACAGATAGAAATACGTCACTGCCAACAGCTGTTTCGTGTAAAAAGATAAACATTGCAATAAAATACGAACACCACTAAACATTTGCACATTTCACTAACACCAATAAGCCCTTTGGCCCAGACATTATATAAACGTCATTGAATCGATGTCCGTCGGTGATTGGCACTAGATTGCGGAACAGAGACCGACGTTAAATAAAGGAAAAGAAGAAGAGTAGATGATATCATCTAAAACATGGCCGCCAGTCAGGCCTCTGGTTGGTAAAGTTTTGTGAAATCGCGGGTAGAAAGTCATGCTTGAACTGCTTGACGAATGGCATTCACCACCGATGTGTCATTTAAAATGTAGCACCCAATTCCACGTTACGCAATATTCATACTTTTCGACGTTCGCAACCGCAAATTATCCTGTGACAGCTTTGATGTGCTCTACATAAACCATAAAGGACTCTTTTACATCCACGGCAGGAGCCACGTTGAACCCGATCCACCGTCGTCCATGCCAGGGAACAGCACCGGTAGGCACAACAGCAGCGTAACCACAGCATCCCTGAACTGACATGAAAATATGATACATTATTTATCGCTTTTAAACCAGCTTCCCCCTGCCCCCACTCCGTCACTCTGCGCCAAACAACAAGCCATTATTGCTTTGTGCGTAACAGGTCCTTATCGACAGGAAGTTGCTCTGCCTCGGCGTCGTCGGTTGTAAGCGTGTGTGTGTGTGTCTATTTCACCATGTTTCGATCGCTCTGAGGGGAAGCGGAAAACCGAAGCAATTTCCGACAGTGTTTTGCTGAGGTGCGAGATGCTGGTTATCTGCTTCCTCTCCTCGTAGCACATACTTATTACATTTGCATTACAAAAACCTATTTCTGTCTCACCTTGATTCAAACAGGACGCCTCAAGTACCTGACACTGACCGAGGCCAACCGAGTCTGGATGCCGGATTTGTTCTTCTCGAACGAGAAGGAAGGCCACTTCCATAACATCATCATGCCGAACGTGTACATCCGAATCTTCCCGTACGGCTCGGTGCTGTACAGTATACGAATCTCGCTGACATTGGCCTGCCCGATGAACCTCAAGCTGTACCCGCTGGATAGGCAGGTCTGCTCGCTGCGGATGGCCAGCTGTAAGTATTTATTGCCCCTCCCTATCGCCGGAACTTGTTTTTTTTTTTTTTTGATAACAGAGTAAACGTTAAGGGTGTGCGATGTATCGAGATATTCCGTGTATTTTGCTTCGAAACGAAATCTTTTGAAGCTGTTTCGCTTATTTCACTGCCAACATTTCAAAGGGGCGTAATTGCTTTTGTAAACAATGACTTTAGCCGTCAATTTCTCACGAATGAAATATTGCCTCTCCAAAATTACAATGCTAGCTGCTAGAGGAAACATTCATCTACCTGCTGGTGTCATTATTTTTTATGAGTGAGCTTTCATTCGCGAGAAATCGACGGCTAAAGCCATTGTTTACAAATGCAATTACGTCCCTTTGAAATGTTGGCACTGATTTGTTGTTTCATTTCATTCCGTTTATAGTGGAAAATTGCGTTGAATGTCGTCTATTCACAATATTCCTATCAAAACACATTTCCGGAAAACGACGAAATAGAATATGTTGTCCTTTAAATCTGGGAGAGAGTGATAAATGAGTTATAGACCTGCCTAGTAAATAGTAAAGATTGATGATGTTTTGAGGTTGCGCCAATGCATTGGTGAATTACTATGAGAAATTATTGAGTTTCACTTATAGCGAATTCGTTTATTAGCGGGGTTTTTGTCAGTGCGAACCTCAACCTAAGGTAGGCTTTAAAAACAAATGATCAAACTGACGTTTATCAGAAAACAAGCAAACCCAATCTTGATACCCGATCCAGGTTGGAACTGAATAATAAACGAATTCGCTATTACATTGCTCTAACCTTGGTTGTAGTTGTCCAAACATTGAAAAAATGTGATATGTGGTTGTCATGACAATGATTAACAAGCCTGTTGTTGTGATGAAATTGATACTGTTGTGTTGCACATTTTCATCTGTCAAATACCATATTTTGCAAGGGGCAAGACAGCTGTACTGGTGTTGTTGCGATGATCCACATTTAGCACAAATGGAACATTGACGAATGCAGCCTTTTATGTAGCTGTTCATCCCAAGTCACAATAGATTAGTTTTGGCCAACTTCATAGTTGATTCTATTCCGATACTTCGCTCATGTAGATCATCGAAGGGATGCAGGAATTCTTTCATATCTTTTTTTGTCATGCTATTTAGAATTATTCAGAATCCTCCATTTGGGATGACAGTAGTCCTCCCTCAATCATTCGCTGGAAGGGAGATATGATTGGTTCTACAAGCACTGCGATAACTTCAGGCACTCCGTAGCCATCGGTGTGCTTAGGAGCATTCCACACCAAGTTCTTGACCTCCAAACCGACCTACCAATCGTTGGCGTTCGCCTCAAGAACCCCGCTAACTTAGCTATCGGCTGTGCGTACCTGCCCAACTTAGATGGAGACTTAAGTGCAGCTATTTCCAAGCTTCCGGAACCGCGGCTCATCGTCGACGACTTCAATGGGCACCATCCGGACTGGGGCAGCCCCCACCCAGACCCCAGAGGTTCTACTCTGGCGAAAATCTTCGAGAGTGAGGACCTGGTGGTGCTGAACGACGGCACTCCCACCTTTCTTAATAGACGGCACACCACCGCGATCGACATTGCCACTGCCAGTCGATCTATCGCGAACAGGACACAGTAGAATATCAGTAACGACCTGCATGGTAGTGACCATTACCCGATCCGTATACAGCTTTCCGTAGGCGCGGCCCCTCCAACGACTCGGAGACCCAGATGGCGCTACGAGGAAGCCAACTGAGACGCCTTCAGGGAGAAATCTGACGCTCTCCTTCAGCAACGCGATCCGAACGACATCTCGAGTTTCACGGAAGTACTCTACGAAGCTGCAACAGTATCTATACCAAGGACGGGTAGGTACCCGGGCGAAAAGTCCCACGTTGGTGGAACGAGGATACCAAATGTGCGGTGAAAGCGTGATGCAAAGCTTTACGCCGGCTTAAGCGTCTCGCCTCAGACGACCCTGGGAGGGAGGAAGCGCTGAAGTTTTACCGAGAACGCAATCTCTCGTGCAGACAGGTGATCCGTGACGCAAAGCGATCTAGCTAGATGGATTTCTTGGATTCAATCGACGAATCCCAATCGTCGAGTGAATTGTGGAATCGCGTCAACGCTCTGAGTGGCAAACAGCGGTATACTCCACCTACTATCCAAGCTCATGGCACCTCGATCTCAGAACCGAAGGACATCGCCGACGAATTAGGAAAATATTTTGCCGGCCTGTCTGCTGTCAGTGGCTACGACAGCGATGTCGTCCAGCGCGTAAAAACCTTCCACAAGCAACATTCGCGACTTGCGAATTCCACCCGATGTTCCTGCTCTCCAGATCAACGAAGCTCTTACATTCCGGGAGCTCCAATTTGCCCTCGGCAGCAGTAGTGATAAATCTGCCGGGCCGGACGAGATTGGAGGTATTAAAAAACCTCTCCCTCGACGAAAAAATGAGGCTACTCACCCTCTTCAACAATCTATGGCTCACTGACTCGTATCCGGACCTCTGGAAACAAAGCGAGTGAAGAAGCCTCCTCCTTTAGGCCGATTGCACTCACTTGTTGCGCGGCAAAAGTGATGGAGAGAATGGTAAATCGTCGTCTTCAGCAGTTTCTGGAGTCAAACGGCCTCCTTGACGAACGGCAGCATGCGTTCCGGCAAGGACACGGCTCCTCCACTTACTTTGCAGCCTTTGGGAATGTACTTAAGGAAGCCCAGGACAACGGTCACCATGCGGAGATAGTCTCCCTTGATATTTCAAAAGCGTTCAACAGGCCATGGACACCTGGTATCATCAGACAGCTCATCGGCTGGGTCCTGGAAGATCACATCACACATTTTGTACGGAATTTGCTCCTTGATCGTATTTTCCAGGTGACCGTCGGGAACACTCGCTCGGATCCGTTCCCCGAACAAACTGGAGTGCCCCAGGGGTCCGTCATAGCGGTAACGCTATTCCTGGTGGCAATGAACGGGGTATTCAGCCGATTGCCCAAGAACGTACACGTAATCGTTTATGCCGACTAAGAGATGAACTAGCCTATGGCTAAAAATCTCTCAAATAAAGGATAAAAAAAAAAAAGTTTATGCCGACGACATACTCATCGTCGTAACGGGACGAACGACTAAACGGACCAGGAACATAGCTCAAGCAGCAGTCTCCGCCGTCAGCAGGTGGGCGCTTTCGGTTGATTTCCAGCTCTCCGCTCCGAAGAGTGTACGGGTGCCATATCTGTCACTCGGGCCATCTGATTCGAGGACCACCGATCACCATCCAAGATCACCCGATTCCGCTCAAGAAAACAGTGCGTGTTCTGGGGGTAGTACTGGATCGCACCCAAAGCTTCAACCAGCACTTCAGGATGGTGAAAAAAAACTGTCGTAACCGCATCAACATAGTCCGGACAATCTCCCGCCCGCATCGCTCCAGCAACCGTGAGATCAGCCTACGTGTCGCTCGGGCTGTTATCAACAGTCGACTTTTCTACGGCCTCGAAATAACCTGCTTAGCCACCGAGAAGCTCAACAACACCCTCGCTCCGGTATACAATACCTACGTACGCATCGTATCCGGCCTTCTCCCTTCCACGCCTGCAGACGGCGCATGTGTGGAAATCTGAATCCTCCCTTTCCGCTATCGATCTACTGCAGCCATTGCTACGAAAGCCGCTGCCCTCGCTGCTAAGACATCCGGGAATGAAAGGGTCTTTCTCCTCAACGAGGGGAACAGAGCCCTTCGCACTGCAGCCAACCGTGACCTCCCCCCGGTGGCCAGGGTCCACTGGCATGGAGAGAAGAGTTGGCGATCAAACGTCGTCAAAATAGATAAGCGGATTAAGAGTGGATTCCAAGCCGGAGATAACTCTGTAGCTTTGAGACATTCTGTTGCACAGCTTCTCTGGTCGGTTTATCCGGGGCAGGACCATAGTGGCAGGACCGAACACTGCAACGAATCAAAGTCTACCGGAGGAGTGTTCCGTCTTTTCCGCTGAAGCCGCAGCTATTCTAGACGCAGCCATCACTCCGGCAGATCAACCGATCCTCGTATTAACTGACTCACACAGCGTCATCCAAGCGCTGGAAGCCGAAGCATCGGAGCCACCCCTGGATACAAGCCATTACACGGTACGCCCCACCTTCAACCGTCTTTACGTGGATCCCCGGACACTGCGGTGTTCCCGGAAACGAGGCTGTGGACAGGTGGGATCTGGCGCATCCCGTCCCCGCTACACCAGGAACGTACCTCTCCTCGACGTCAGGCGTTGGATTGTGAATACCATTATGGAAGCCTGGCAGCAGGAATGGTTCCAGTCGCGGACCATTTTCCTGAGGAAGATCAAGGAAACCGTACGCTCCTGGCCGGACAGCCAAAAGTACAAGGACCAGCGGATCATCTCAAGACTCCGGACCGGCCATGCGAGGACTTACTGTAATTTCGGTGGGACACCTTTCCGCAAGGTCTGTTCAATTTGCAGCATCCCCGCCTCGGTGGAACACGTGCTGTGTGTTTTCCCGGAGTTCCAGAAGCTACGCGAACAACATGGACTCCCGGAGAACGTCAGTAATCTTCTTGGTTACGACCCCTCGACGTTGGCTGCGCTAATCGCCTTTCTGAAAGAAGCTCACTTGTATGACCAAATCTAGCCCCCCGTCGGTAACTGCACTGATCGTGTGTTTCTATTTTTTTCTGCCGTCGGGGTTTCTCCGCCGGACCAGGCACTGTCTCCTACGGTGGAGCTCTACCTTGTTCGCGCACCCAGTCCTCACCACAGCCCCGATCTAATCCTCACCTTACATTAAGTTTTTTAAATGTTGTCTGTCTCATTCGTTGGGTAATCAGAGCCGGTTATACGTCACGTTCATGTCAAATTGAAACCTATTTTTTAGGCAAGATCTAGCCTGACCATCTGCTGTATAACGTGATGAACTAGCCTACGGCTAAAAATCACGGTAATAAAGGAAAAAGTCCTCCTTAAGATTGTCTGGAATCTCCCTGGAATTGTACT